AATATTAGAGAAGTTGTTACAACCACCAGTGTTTGAATATTTTTTTACTATTAATATGTTCAATTATTTTTTTATTTTTCTGCTATGTACATATATTACTGCAATCAGAAAATTCCATGAAGATTATTATAAATGCCTCAAAACAAAGTAATATTATAAAACATGTTAAAATACAAATAAACAATGCAATGCAATATTTACAACGTGTATTACAGATTTGGAATTAGCCTTAATATTTAGTAGCTCTTATAACTCAATAGCAAAATGAAATGCCAACAAAGGAAAAAAATGGTAGCTACAAAATAAAATATATATACTTATTTGCAGTTTTGGGGATTGCAATCCAGGAAACACAGATATGAACAACATCAAAAGCATGCTCCAGAGAGACAAAGAAAGTTAGAGTTTTTGAAGAGGAATGAGGAGATTTATATAGGTTTTTTTGAAGAAAATGCAATTGGTGCTGGTATTGCTACAGTTACACTAATCTATGTTTGACTGGTTCCTAGGGCTAGTGTTAGGCAGAAAGCCCATTTATGTCCATTTTATCATATAGCAGATGCCTTGTCTTTTAGCTGAGTTGAGTAAAAATTCTGATAATTTGAGACAGAAGATGTGCATGAGCTCCACATCTTCAATATCTTCCCAGCTGGCCCCATTTTAAATTATTCTCTTAGCAATGGTTACTCCATCTTATTCTTTTCATTGTCAGAACTAAAGATATGAATAGGAAATTTACAGTAAGGGAAACATAAAGGACCAATAAACAAGCAGAAACTGAACAGTGAAAGAAATACAAATGAAAACAAAATAAACCCTTCCTTTCCCTATCAAATCAGAAAAGATTAGAAAGACTGATATGATAAGATTCTGTGTTTGGGTGTCAGTAAATAGGACTAGCACATGTTGCTGGTGGGAATAATGTACAATCACAATTTTTATAAAGGTGAGGTTTGTTTATGAATGTCAGAACAATAATGATAATACTAAAACTTGAAAGCAACACAAATATGCATGAGTAGAGGATTAACTCAAAACATTATTAGACACATCAAAAGAAATAGTATACAGAAAATCAAAATAATTAGGAAGACTTCTGATTAAATGTTGTAAATTGACTACAAGCTTTTATCTTACCTTTTTCATAAGATCTCACAAGAATTAAGTAAACTGAGACTTACATTAAAAAAATCTTTTTATTTTGGAATATTTTTTTAAATGTTTATTTATTTCTAAGACAGAGAGAGACAGAACATGAGTTGGGGAGGGGCAGAGAGAGAGGGAGACATAGAATCTGAAGCAGGCTCCAGGCTCTGAGCTGTCAGCACAGAGCCCAATGCGGGGCTCGAACTCACGAGCTGTGAGATCATGACCTGAGCCGAAATCAGTGGCTGAACCGACTGAGCCACCCAGGCGCCCCTGTTTTGGAATATTTTACACAAGTGTTACAACGGTGGTAAAGAGAGCTCCTGTATACTCTTAATCCAGATTTCCCAAATATTAACATATTTCACGTGTTAAAATTAAGAAATTAACAGTCAACACTATTAACTAAACTAGACACTTTATACAAATGTCAACAAGTTTTCCCAAAGTCCTTTTTTTCTGTTCCTAAGGTTTAATCCAGGGTACTAACTGTATTTATTTAACATGTCTCCTGATTCTACTACATTTTCTGAAAGTTGTTCTTTTGTTTCATAACCTTGATATTTTTTTCAAGAGTACTGTCAGCTATTTTAGAGGATGTCCTTCAGTTTGGGCTTGTCTGATGTTTTCTCATGATTATTGAGATTATGGGATTTGGGGAAGAATACTACAGAGGCAATGTGTCCTTTCCTGTGATGTTCTGTGATATGATTCATGTGATATGATATCAACATGATTTATTAGTGATGGTGTTAACTTTGATTCCTTGACTAAGATGATGTCTGCCAAGTTCTTCCTTTGTAGGATCTTTCTCCATTTTCATATTCTATTTCTTAGAAGTGAGTGAGTCACTAAGTCCAGGCCATACTCAAGAGAAAGGAAATTAAGCTTGACCTCCTGGGGGAGAAGTATCAAATAATTTGTGGGTGTATGTTTTTTTTTTTAAAAACACAATAATTAATTAAAATTTGGAGAGGAGATACTTTGAGGCTATGCAAATATCCTGTTTCTCCTTAAAGTTTTACTCATTAAGTTTAGCATTCATCAGTAGTTCTTACATGCAACAATTACTACCTTGGTGTTCTAATGGTGATTTTCTATATCTATCATACTGACTACATTTATTACTTGGAATTATTTAGTAAGGAAGTTCTATTTTATCTATTTTTCTATCTATTTGTCTATCATTTATTTATCTATACATCTACCTATTTATCATCTACCTATCATCTATATATCTATTTATATCAGTATGGATGTTGTTATTCTTTGTGATATAATTCAATAATATCTTGATTTTTTTCAAATGGATCAAGTTTTGGCCACTAGAAGCTTATTTGGATTGGCTTAAGTTCCTTTGATATGCCCAATGTGTTAGGCAGAATTTTCAAGACACCCCAAAGATTCCTGTTTTTTGGTTATCCAGTAAAACACCAATGTAGGTACTGCTGTAAGGGGATTTTTCAGATGTAATTTAACACAATAAGCTGACTTTAACCTTGGGAAATTTTCCTGGATTATTCTGGTTGGCCCAAAATAATCACATGAGCTGTTGAAGCATAGAACCTTCTCTAGCTGGTGGCAGAAGCAGAAGGCAGAAAAGAAAAGAAGAGAAAGTTAGGGATATTCAAAGAATGAAATGGATTTAATTTATCATTGCTGGCTTTGTAAATGGTGGTGGCCAGAAGTGAAGGAATATAGGGAGTCTCTAGAAGCTGAAAACAACCTGCACCTAACAACCAGGAAGAAAACAGCGACCTCAGTCCTACATCTGTATGGAACTGAATTGTGTTAACAACTTGAATGAGACTGAAAGCATGTTCTTTCTCAGAGTCTCCAGACAAGAGCCCAAGCTGGTTGGCCCTTAATTGCTGTTTTTTTGTTTTGCTTTGTTTCATTTTTTTGAGACTGTAAGTAAAGAATCTAGTTGAACCCATCTGGACTTCTGTTTTAAGCCACTAACTTGGTGGTTGTTATGTAGCAATAGAAAATGAATACACTTGCATACTGTTTTTAAATCACATCCTTACTTTCTGGTACTATAAGATGTTCCGGGTTAATCTTGTATTTTCCCTTCTCTGGCCCAAGAATCAGCTGTTTCTCTAAGAAGTCCTGATTCCTTTTATTAGAAAGTGGTATTTAGAAATGAAGATCTTGGCCTTACATGTGTTCATTGCTAGAGGGACAGCATTGTGTCTAGACCTTCTCAGTGGACAGAACTAGTAAATATATTTACACTACTCTGTGTACACACACACACACACACACACACACACACACAAGTTCATATTGATATCTCTAACTCTAAAACTTTCTTCTGTGCAACTTCTTTCTCTGACAGTGAGAAACTTGGCTCCCATTATCTATATTAACTTATTTGTTCAACCCTCATATGCATGCAATGTATTTCTATACATGTAATAAATTGCTATATAATATTCGGTGAGAAACAAATATACCAACGAGAGTATGGTTCTTTTTGTCTTTAGCTTTGCAGTAGTCAGTCAAAACACTGTTTTCCAAAGTTACTTAGGTCAGCTCCATTATTCTTCATCCACTTTAGTGAAGTGATGGCATACATTTTGCTATGGTCTGAATGTTTGTGTCCCCATCACCACCAAATTTATATGTTGAAATCCTAATGCCCAGTGTGATGATATTAGGAAGTAGGGCCTTTGAGAGGTGCTTAGATCATGAGGGTAGAACAATCAAGAATGAGGTTTGTGTTCTTATAAAAGAGACTCCAGGGAGCTCCCTAGTCCCTTTCACCATGAGAGGACACAGTGAGAAATCAGCAGTCTGCAATGCAGGAAAGGGCCTTCGTCAGAATCCAAACATGCTGGCACACTTGTTCAAGCCTCTAGAACTGTGAAAAATAAATGTTTATTATTTATAAACTACCAAGTCTATAGTATTTTATTATAATAGCTCAAATGGACTAAGACACATTTATGATACAATTAAATGCATTTGTTACAGTCTGTATTCCATCCTGGGTTCTTCTTACAGTCTGGCCGATTTAAAAAATTTTTCCATGCATATATCAAGGTTTCTCAACTTTGGCATTATTGACATTTTAGGCTTGATCATTCTTTGTTTGGATGGCTGCCCTGTGAATTGTCGGATGTTTATCAGTATTCCTGGCCTCTACCCACTGGATGCCAGTAGCACACACCTCCACGGTGTGAGAACGAAAAATGTCTGCAGGCATTGCTAAATAACCCCTGGTGGGCAAAATTGCTCCCAGTTGAAAAATACTGGCATAGGGAAAGAGTCACCTTTGGTGGTGGTGTATGTTCTATGGGTTTTAACATGTACATTAACTACAACAGTAACATATAGCAGAGTTTCACCACCCTAAAAATTCTCTTGTGCAGACTCTGTTATCAGTCACATCCATCACCCCCAGCTCCTGGGAGCCACTGAACTGATTCTGATTCTATAGTTTTTCCTTTTTCAGAATGTCATAAACTGTGATCATATTATATGTAGCTTTTTTTTTTACTAAATTTTAATTATTTTTGAGAGAGAGAGAGAGAGCACTAGTGGGGAGGGGGAGAGAGAGGGAGAAAGAGGATCCCAAGCAGGCTCCAAGCTGTCAGCATGGAGCCCATTGCGGAGCTTGAACCCACAAACCATGAGATCATAACCTGAGCTGAAACCAAGAGTTGTACCTTAACTGACTGAACCACCCAGGCGCCCACTATATGCAGCCTTTAAGATCTGATTTTATTCACTAACATAATGTTTCAAATTTATTCATAAAACAAGAGTTTGTTTCTTTTCATTGCTTAGTAGTATTCCATTTAATGGATGTGCCAAGGTTTATTTATATATTCACTTGTTGAAGGACATCTGGATTGTTTTCAGATTTTGGTGATTATGAATAATACTATAATGAACATTTTGTGTACAGGTTTTTGTGTGAATACACACTTGAAATTCACTTGGACAAATACATACAACTGAGATTCCTGGGTCATATGGTAAGTGTATGTATGATTAACTTTATATTAAACTGTGGATATGTTATACAAAGTAGCTGTATCATTTACATTTCTACAAGCAATGCATGGAAATTCCTCTTGTTACAAATCTTCACAAGTATTTGCAATTGTGGAGTTTTTCAATTTTATCCATTCTAATAGGTGTACACCGGTATTTCATTGTGGTTTTAACATGCATTTCTCTAATGACTAACAATATCAAGCATATTTTCATATGTGCTTAGGTACCATTTGGATATATTCAGATATTTTGACAATTTCTTAATTGAGTTTTTTTTTCTTTTGGTGTGTTTTAACAGTTTTTAAAAATATTCAGGAAATGTGTTTTATAAAATATGTAATCTGAAAATATTTTCTCCCAGTGTGGATGTCTTTTTACTCTTTTAACCGACCTTTTATGTAGCAAAAGATTTTCATTTTGTTTAAGTTCCATTTATCATTTTTTTTCTTTTACGGATGTCATACATAAAAACTTTTCTTTTGTTGTCACACCTTAAAACTCGTTGCCAAAGTCAACATCACACAAATATCTCCTATGTTTTCTTTCAGAATTTATATTTTTTGCTTTACATTTACATTTAATACATTTACATATGTTTCATTTTGAGTTAATTTTTTCTGTAAGTTCTGAGGTATGTGTTGCAGTTCATATTTTTGGTTATGCATTTCTAGTTGTTTTTGTTTTATTTCTTCTTTTCCAATATCTGATTCTTGGGGTTTCCTACATAGAAAATAATGTCATCCACAAGAGGGAAACTTTACTTTGTTTATTTGTTAAAGTATAGTTGACACAGTGCTACACGGTATAATTTTATTTTTACATTCCAAACTATATGCTTTTCATTCCTTTTGTTGTTGTTGTTGTTGTTGTTTTATTGCACTTGATAAGACTTTCATTATGATGTCAAAGGTGACTGCTGAGAGTGGATATGCTTGCCTTGCTCCCAGACTTGAGAGAAAATATTGAGTCCCTCACCACTACGTATGTTACCTGGATGTTTTTGTAGAAGCCCTTTATCAGGTTGTGGAAGTTAACTTCTATTTATACTTAATTGAAAGTTTTTATCATTAATAGATGTTGTATTTTGTCAAAAGATTTCTCTGCATCTATGGCTATGCTCGTAGAGTTTTTCTTCTTTAGATTCTTAATGTGGTGGACTGATTTATTTTCAAATATTGAATTAGCCTTTCATTCTTGGAATAAATCCCACTTGGGGAGAGAGTGAGAGTGAGAGAGAGAAAGAGTGAGAAAGAGAGAGAGATTTAATCTGGTAATATGAGGGATACTACTCTTAGTTTTCTTTATTTGTACTATATTTCTCTGGTTTGATTGTTGTAAAATGAGTTGGAACAGATTTCTTCCTCTTCTGTATTAGTTTTCTATTGTTGCCATAAAACATTACCACAAAATTAGTATATTACTTTAAATATAAAGGTTTTATATTATTTCACAATTATTTAGGTCAGAAGTCCGACATAGGTCTCATTTGCAAAAAATAATGATGTTGGCAGAGCTGTATTCCTTTCTGGAGGCTCTAGGGAAACATCTCTTTCTTTGCTCTAAAGAATTAAATTATTTTTATGCTTTCTATTGCTTTTCTCATAATTTCAGGTTTAATTAGTTTTTTTAAGTTTATTTATTTATTTTGAGAGAGAGAGAGAGATTGCACGAGCAGGTGGGGGCAGAGAGAAGGAGAGACAGAATCCCAAGCAGGCTTCATGCCCTCAGCACAGAGCGCCATGCGGGGCTTGAACTCATGAACTGTGAGATCATGACGTGAACTGAGATCAAGAGTCAGATGCCTAATCCACTGAGCCACCCAGGTGTCCATAATCACTCCCTTTAAAAGGAGAAAGATTTATATGGCTGTTAACAAGTTAAAGTCAGAGAAATTCAAAGCATGATAATGCTTGGATGCATTACCATTGCTGGCTTTGAAAATGCCATGGACCAAATGCAAGGATATCAGAGAAACCTCTAGCAGCTGAGAGCAATGCCCTGTCAAAAGTCAGCGAGGAAAAGTAAACAAGGGTATGGGGACATTAATCCTACCACTTCAAGAGATTGAATTCTCCCAACCACCTGAATAAAGTTTGAAGGGGATTCTTCCCCCTGACCCTCCAGATAAGAGGCTAGATCTCTTTATCTCCTTCAGTATAGAATATACCCTCCATTTTTTTCTTGACTTTCATGAATCTGTAAGTTCATGAAGCTACAAGTCCAGTTATTTTCTACAGTGTCCTTCAATTTGATTTTGCCTGATCATTCTTCTAGAATGGATTCATATGTTATGCATCTTTGGCAGGAATATCACAGAAGCATTGCTTTGGTGTGCTGTTTATCCTATCAGGTGACACAATTTCAATTTGTTCCATTACTTACAATGTCTTCTTTGACCATTTGTTCAAGGTGGTGACTTCCAGACCATTCCAGTGTCTTTTACCTTTGTAATAATTAAATATTTTATGGGTAGGTATTTTTAAAGTATCTAAATGTTTATTTTTATATTTATTTATTTAGATACTGAATCATATTTTTTTGATCCAATGGATTACACTATCTTCTATCATTATTTAATTTGATACTCATATTGTCCTTTATTTGATTTGTAGGAGCCTGTTAATACTGGCTTATATGTCCTTTTGGTATGCCATCATTTTTTTGCCACATTGCTTTCTGGCATTGCAATATGTTCCAGGCTCATTATGTTCTTTACCTACCACAACCATGTAATCAGCCATTTCTCCAAGGAGTTCTTATTCTCTTTATTCACTAATAGTATTTAAAAGACATGATATGGACACTAGGTCTGTTTCTATTGGCATACTGGGCCCCTGGGCTCTCTCAGTGGAAAGAATTAGGCAATATTTGTATATACATGTACACACACAGACATAGGTACTCGCACTTATATGAATTTACACACTTACATGTATATTTCTATATTTCTATATCTTTATCAATTGAGAGCCATATAGGTATCCTCTTCAGATTACTAGCAGGCTTCTGCATGGACATGTTTCTCACCCTGCTCGGATCTGAAATCCTGCTCAAGTCTGCCACATATTGCCTCCCATGGACACTCTCTTCAACCAAATAAAAAGAACCCAATGCTCCTCACCTGGATAGTTTCCTACCTAGGAAGCTCTCTTTACAGTCTTAGGCACTAAATCTTTACAATGAGTCTCTCTCCAAGGTTGCCCAAGTTGGATGTCTTCTTCACCCTGCTCAGGCCAATATAACTCTGTTCTCTCCTCTGGCAAAAACACCTATCTTCCTTTTCCCTATCTAATGGTGTTAGAACTGAATTGTCCAGGAAGAGAAGGGAAGGGCTGAGGAAAAGGAAAACAAATATATATTTTTGTTAAATAAAGTCATCAAATTTTTATTCATCATAATAAATGTACCCTTTAAAACCCATCACCTCGGGGCGCCTGGGTGGCGCAGTCGGTTAAGCGTCCGACTTCAGCCAGGTCACGATCTCACGGTCCGTGAGTTCCAGCCCCGCGTCGGGCTCTGGGCTGATGGCTCAGAGCCTGGAGCCTGTTTCCAATTCTGTGTCTCCCTCTCTCTCTGCCCCTCCCCCGTTCATGCTCTGTCTCTCTCTGTCCCAAAAATAAATAAACGTTGAAAAAAAAATTAAAAAAAAAACCCATCACCTATTTCAGCCATCCTTCCATCCAATTCTCCTCTAGTAACCATCAGTTTCTTCTCTATAGTTAAGAATCTGTTTCTTGGTTTCTCTCTCTCTCTCTCTCTCTCTCTCTCTCTCTCTTATTTATTTGTTTTGTCTCCTAAATCCCACATATTAGTGAGATCATATGGTGTTTGTCTTTCTTTGACTGGCTTATTTTCCTTAGGATAATCCTCTCTAGCCATGCTGTTACAAATGGTAAGATTTTATCCTTTTTTAATTTTTTTAATGTTTATTTATTCTTGAGAGAGAGAGACAGAAGAGTGTAAGCAGAGGAGGAGCAGAGAGAGATGGAGACACAGAATCTGAAGCAGGCTCCAGGCTCTGAGCTGAGAGCCCGACATGGAGCTTGAACCCACAAACCACGAGATCATGACCTAAGCTGAAGTCAGACGCCCAACCAACTGAGCCACCCAGGCACCCCAAGATTTTGTTCTTTTTTATGGCTGAAAATTATTCCATTCTCTCTATATAAACACCACTTCTTTATTCATTCATCAGTCAGTGCACACATGGGCTGCTTCCATAATTTGACTATTGTAAGTAATGCTGCTATAAACAAACATAAAGGTGCATGTATCCTGTTGAATTAGTGTTTTTGTATTTTTTGGGTAAATACCCAGTAGTGTGATTACTGGGTCATAGAGTAGTTGTATTTTTAACTTTTTGAAGAAACTCCACACTGTTTTCCACAATGGTGGCACCATTTTGCATTCCCACCAACAGTGTAAGAGGGTTCTTTTTTCTCCACATCCTCACCAACACTTCCTATTTCTTGTGTTTTTTTTTATTCTATTTTAGCCATTCTGACAAGTGTGAGGGGATATCTCATTGTAGTTTTGACTTGCATTTCCCTGATGATTATTGACGTTGAGGATCTTTTCATGTGTCCGTTGGCCATCTCTATGTCTTCTTTGTCTGTTCATGTCTTCTGCCCATTTCTCAATTGGGTTATTTGTTTTTTGGGTCTTGAGTTGTATCAATTCTTTATATATTTAGGATACTAACTCTTTAATGGGTATGTCATTTGAAAATATATCCTCTCATTCAGTAGGTTGCCTTTTTGTTTTGTTGATTTTTTCCTTCACTGCGTAGAAACTTTTTATATTGATGTAATCCCAAAAGTTCATTTTTGGTTTTGTTTCCCTTGCCTCAGCAGACCTACCTAGAAAAATGTTGCTATGGTTGATGTCATAGAAATTACTACCTGTGCTCTCTTCAAGGATTTTTGTGGTTTCAGGTCTCACATTGGTCTTTAATCCATTTTTTTTTAACTCTTTAATGTTTATTTATTTTTGAGAGAATAGAGTGTGAGTAGTGAGGGGAAGAGAGAGAGGGAGACACAGAATCTGAAGCAGGCTCCAGGCTCTGAGCTTTCATCACAGAGCCAGAAGTGGAGTTCGAATTCATGGACTATGGGATAATGACCTGAGCTGAAGTCGTATGCTTAACTGACTGAGCCACCCAGTTGCCTCAGTCTTTAATCCATTTTGAGTTTATTTTTGTGTATGGTAAAAGAAAGTGGCTTAGTTTCATTCTTGTATGTAGCTTTCCAATTTTTCCCAACACCATTGTTTGAAGAGACTGTATTTTTCTCATTGTATATTCATTCCTCCTTTGTCAAAGATTAATTGACCATATAATATTGGGTTTGTTTCTATTTTTCTAATATTCTATTTGATTGATCTGTCTATTTTTATGCCAGTACGATACTGTTTTAATTACTACCATTTTCAATGATATAACTTGAAGTGTGGAATTGTGATGCCTCCAGCTTTGCTTTTCTTTTTCAAGGTTCCTTTGGCTATTTGGGATCTTTTGTGGTTTTATACAAATTTTAGGATTGTTTGTCCTAGTTCTGTGGAAAATGCTGTTGGCATTTTAATAGGGATTGAACTAAATGTGTAGATTACTTTGGGTAGTATATACATTTTAACAATATAGTAAAACCTTGGTTTGCAAGCATAATTCATTCCAGAAACATGTTTGTATTACAAAGCACTTGCATAACAAAGCGAATTTCCCTATAAGAAATATAATACACAGTAATAAAAATATAAAATATAAAAAAATAACAAATTAACCTGCATTTACCTTTGAAAAGCTTTGTGGCTGATGTGAGGGGGACAAGACAGAGGAGGGTTATTGTGTATGATGAATTTCACTACCACTAATGTAATCACCGTTATCTATTGGCTCAATGGAATCTTTTTATTTTCATGCAACTTTAACAAGGAATCTATCCAATGACACTTCCTTTTGCCTCTTTTTTAGGATTTCATGGAAATGTAACATTACTATGACGATCACCCAAAATTCTGCAGCGAGAGAGAGAAAGAAAGAGAACAGTTGTGATCAGAACCAGTTGTGATCATGTGGTGTTTGGCATCACGTATTAGTCCTATTGCAAGACATCGCTCATTTATCAAATTAAAATTTATTAGAAATGTTTGCTCGTCTTGCAGAACACTCACAGAACAAGTTACTTACAATCCAAGGTTTTGCTGTATTTGTTCTTCCAATCCATGAGCATAGAATGTCTTTCCATTTCTTTATGTGGTCTTGAATTTCTTTCATCAGTGTTTTGTAGTTTTCAGAGTAGAAGACTTTCACCTCTTTGGTTAAGTTTATTCACAGATATTTTATTGTTTTGGTGCAATTATAAATGAAATTATTTTCTTAATCTCACTTTCCACTCCTTCATGGAAATGCAACAGATTTCTGTAAATTAATTTTGTATGCTGCAAATTTACTGAATTCACTTACTTAAAATTGAATTTACTGAATTCAATTTTAGTAATTTTTTGGTGAAGTCTTTAGGATTTTCTATATTGAGTATCATGTCATCTGCAAATGTAAAAGTTTTACTTCTTCTTTACCTATTTGGATGCCTTTTATTTCTTTATGTTGTCTGATTGCTTTGGTTAGGACTTTTAGTACTGTATTGAATAAAAGTGCTAAGAGTGGACATAGTTGTCTTGTTACTGACCTTAGGGGAAAAGCTCTAAGTTTTTCCTCTCTGAGTATGATGTTCACTGTGGGTTTTTCATATAAGGCCTTTATTATGTTGAGATATGTTCCCTCTAGACCTACTCTGTTGAGGGGTTTTATCACGAATGGATGTTGTACCTTGTTGAATGCTTTGTCTGAATTTATTGAAATGATCATATGGTTTTTATCCTTTCTCTTATTGATGTGACATATCATGTTGATTGTTTCATGAATATTGAACCACCCTCTTAATTCTTTTTTATGTTGAGATACGTTCCCTCTAGACCTACTCTGTTGAGGGGCTTTATCACGAATGGATGTTGTACCTTGTTGAATGCTTTGTCTGAATCTATTGAAATGACCATATGGTTTTTATCCTTTCTCTTATGGATATGAAATATCATGTTGATTGTTTCATGAATATTGAACCACCCTCTTAATTATTTTTTATTATTGAAATGTATGAATACATTGCCAATCCAAAACTATAAAATATGTTGTGTTTAAGTTAAACTCAAATGTAAATGGAGCTTATGTGCTGTGAAATTGTTCAGGACACAGCATCTGATCACAAAACAAGCACTTTCTTCATAATAAGGGGGGGATATCTTCTGCCAATAATTCCATTAATATGATGTTAATGTTGTCTCTGACTACATGTAAGCAGAATAAGCAGAAGAGGAGTCAGTAAAACTTCTGCTCCCAACTTTGTGTGGGCAGAAAGAAGGTGTAGTTGTAAGCCAATAAACAAATAGCTTCTTCTGAGCTTCCAAGATTTCTGGAGATGCACAATTTAAACATTAACAGAAGTCACTTAGGCAGAGTGAGGGTGGGCCCCTGCTGTTACCCTAGTACCTAACTTCCTGAGAAAGTAGCCCCTGCCTTCCACACACATACTGGAAAGAGGAAGAAGACAGACTACCCATTGTTAAGGACCATAAGAGTGGTTGAGACTCCATGTGCCTCAATGCCCATCAATGACAAAGATGGGAGAGTTCACTTCCAAGTAGCATGGTCTCAGATGCTGTGTTGTCAGTGCTAGGCCTTGAGGAATGAGCAGTACAAGGATTTGGGAGGAAGAGGAGATCAAAATAAGGAAGGGGAAAAATTGAACTCTAATAGTAAGCCCACTTTCATTCCTTACTATGTCTTCCTTACCAAATTAGTTTATCTTCCCCTTTATGGGTGAGAGTATTCCTGCTTTGTTTGAAAACCTGTAACAGCCTGTCTGAAGGCACCTTCCAAGGGAGACCAATTGTCTTCATTCTCTCCCCATTGCCTTCAGTCACTCATTTTCTCTAAATCTATAACCCAGCATGCCAGGTGGGGAGGGAGGACACTATAATTATAAAAAATGAAATAGACAACTCATACATCAGATGAATTACAGAATTTTATACTCTCTCTCTCTCTCTCTCTCTCTATATATATATATATATATGTATATAAAATAACCTATTTCAGTCACATTTTTGGTTGAGGTCTCAAGATAATTGGTTTCTACTACTGTCAAATTCCAAAGTGTAAAACAAGGTGATAAAAACAGGTCATGCAAAGGACTTGGATGAGTACTGAGTTGGTTACCCCTAGATAACTACACATTTTTAGACTACAAAAGACATTTGAGAGGCCAAAAAGATTGTCAGAGATTGAAGAGGATTTTTAGCGAGAACTATTGGCATTTCATGAGTGCTTCCACTGTAGAGAAGGAGTTGCTGTTCTTCACTGTCACCTCAGTCCTAAGGCAAAAAAGTCAATGGGTCTATTCAGTGTCCCCATAACTTGTTAACACAGTAGGTATCTAACTCATCCCTGAGAAATCTAAAAGGCAAGACTAATTTTTTTGACATTACAAGAGAAGAGCAAGTAAGAGATTTTCAACAATAGAGGAAGCCCTAGAGAACCAAAAAAGGGAACCACACAAGGGAAAGAGTTAACTTTAGATACCTTCACAACATAGAAAGTGCCAGTACTTTATGGCCATAATGGTACCAGTTATACAAGTTATACAATTATACAATTGTTATTTCTTTTCTGCCTTAATTGAACAGAAACTGTTTTGTGACTACAACTGACAGGAGGATATTTTTACTTACAGACATGCAGGGAAGTCATGGGACATACCCTAGATTCAACTCAAGGGACAGGAGAACTAGTGTGAAAAAGTAGGTTTACATAGACAGCAGGTAAAAAAAAATGTTTTATTATGGTATCCTACAAATCCTACTTTTTCAAATTATTTGTTACTTCGGCAAATCTTGAAAATATGTGTGAGAATATTAAAGCTGGGAAATGGCATAATTTTAGCTACTTTTTTCAGGCATGCTTTCAATTCAGGTCCATTGCATTGCTTTTCCCTCTGATTGGAAGACTCTACCCTCAAATATCTGCCTAGATCACTCCTTTGCCTCCTTCAGATGTTTCCTCCTGAGCTTTGTCTTGTTTCTCCAACAGATATTCAAGTTCTATGAAGACATTTTTTTTGCTGTTTTGTTTAGTGTTGTGATTCCCCAATACCTAGAACAGCACCAGGTATGTAATACATGCTACACAATTTGTTAAATTAATAAATTAAATTGAATTCATCAATATTTTTGCACATAGCAGAGATTCTAAATTCATTTTTACCTTTTTTTATATGAAATTTATTGTCAAATTGGTTTCCATACAATACCCAGTGCTCATCCCAAAAGGTGCCCTCCTCAATACCCATCACCCGCCCACCCTCTCCTCTCTCCCACCCCCCATCAACCCTCAGTTTGCTCTCAGTTCTCAACAGTCACTTATGCTTTCTCCCACTCTAACCTCTTTTTTTTTTCCTTCCCCTCCCCCATGGGTTCCTCTTAAGTTTCTCAGGATCCACATAAGAGTGAAACCATATGGTATCTGTCTTTCTCTGTATGGCTTATTTCACTTAGCATCACACTCTCCAGTTCCATCCACGTTGCTACAAAAGGCCATATTTCATTTTTTCTCATTGCCACGTAGTATTCCATAGTGTATATAAACCACAATTTCTTTATCCATTCATCAGTTGATGGACATTTAGGCTCTTTCCATAATTTGGCTATTGTTGAGAGTGCTGCTATGAACATTGGGGTACAAGTGCCCCTATGCATCAGTACTCCTGTGTCCCTTGGATAAATTCCTAGCAGTGCTATTGCTGGGTCATAGGGTAGGTCTATTT